GCAGTGGTCTCTTACTCGATATCCTTCATTAACCAATTTATCATTTAGCATAAAAAAATCTCAATACCAACAACTATAATGGTTTTTGTATGAGAATTCACATTGGTTGCATGTGTAGAATTCATGTCTTTCTTTTTATATTTTAGTTCATTACGTTATTTTACTTTTATGATACATACTCCTATTGGAGGTAGCAGTGAAAAACTTTTCGCAATGGACGAAATCTCGATAGAGCAATGTTACATGGAGTTAGAAGTGGGGCTCATAAACTTCTTTTCTCCGAGTAGACACAATCCCCTAGAGTATTGTAGGGGTACAATGGGTGGATGCGTAGAGATTGGATACATAATGACGAAAGCACCCTATTGGGCAAACACTAACACTAAGAATCGAAAGCTACGAAAGCGGGTGGAGTAGATCCTAGACATTTATTTTTCAAAGAAATATAAATAATACTTGTGTTAACAACAAAAAATTAAACAAATACGAATAGACAAACATGTTATTTCTATGTAAAATAATTTTAATGAAATTAAATTAAATTTTTAGTAAATTTTGATAAAAGTTAATAAAATGTGGGCTGGAAAATTGTGGATCCTATAAAATGTGATGTTAAAATTAATTGTTGACTTTGACATAAAATTTTAATTCAATTTTCATCTATACCAAATATGGGTTAGATGTAGAATAAATTAGTCGATAACATTCTTTGCAAAATGACAATGTATAGCAGGGTGGCATATGGAAGCCTGAGATAAGATAATTTCAAACTTTTTAGTTACTACTCATTCATATTTCTATAGGTGGTCTACAGCATATTATCCAGCATCGGTGTGCTTAGTTTGATGGCAATGGTCTCTTATGATACAACAATCTCTATTTGTCACATTTGTACGAGTACAACAAACCATGTATGTTGTTCAGTCTTTTTTATTTAAAACTAGATATAAAACCTAAGCAGAATACTAAATGCACATTTATAACGTGATTATCTTGTTGACTTCATTTTTTACACAAGTGACGAGGTCAACAAATTCCAACTTCACTCGCGTTCATGCAACCTCTTTTAAATATGTAAATTATGTATTATACATTGGTCCTCAACACTCTCCAATCATTCATAGTCGTTTTCATGTAACCTCCGAAAGTTTGCAATTAAATCCCTAAACTTTCCAAACATTTTTTTTACTGCTCCCTTCTAATTGATCAATTACGACCCAATTGATCACCAATTATTTCAAATCAACTCCAATTTAGCTCCAAAAAGGTATTTTCATGCCAATTGCTTTTCAAATTGAGGATTTACCTGGTTTAACAGTTTTAAACCTAAATTATGTAGATATCCACTCAATTCATCATAAATAAGCAAGTACAGCAGCCCTAATGGAAAGTAACAATTGCATTTATGATCAAAATGTAAGAACTAATGGAAGTAAGACACAATGCTAACATCACCCTCCAGCGACAATGGATCACGCTTATGCGGTTATTCCTTGTCTCTAGCTCAAGTGCAATTGAGTTAGAACATTAAGTTTGATCTACATTGGAAATACTTGAGAAGAAGCTACAAGTATGCCAACATAGATTCCCTTTAACAAATTGCTGATGTACTAACCATTTTTGAATATGTGGCTATTTCTTGCAGCGAAGTTAAAGGTCTTTTACACAATAAAATTGGATTTTTCTTTTTTCTAAATTCACTTGGTTTAGTCCCACTGAAAATAAGTCCACGTCAATATCTGACTTCTCGGGACTCACTAATGACATCGTACAAATATGTATGAAACTTCTAGAACATGGCAGCGGGTGCATTGTGTTGGGTTATGTGCACATATAGTATATTTTTGTTATATTAAAGATAATAATTTATAATAAAATAAATTGTGATTTTATTTTATTTTTTTTTGAATTTATTTATTATTGAGCATGTGAATTAAAGTATCATAATCATTTGTGATAATATAAATTGTGTACTTTAATTGAGAAGTACATTGTGGCATAACTTATATTTTGGTTATAAATAATTTATTTACAGTCAATGTATAAGAGTTGACACCTTGTACTGGAAGGTCATGGTGTTTCACTATTCGAATTTGTGATGTGTCCTTATCGCAAAAATAATTAAAAGTGACACTAGTAACTTGAAATATATTGAACCGACCATATGTCAAGTTTAGTTATATAGCATGACCATGTAGATATTAAATTTCATTAGATCAATGTGCATTTAATCTAAATCTGTTGACGGGGTTATGTTTATTTTTTCATGATTTTAATGGTTTTTTGATTCATCAATAGGTGTAATCAATTTGATTGTCATATATATCGATGAGTTGGGAGTTTGAGAATGAGAGAAATAAAGAACATGAATTCGACATGTTCTAAATTTCGACATCTGTCAGTAGGTGATAAGCATGTTTTTGCATACTTAGTTTACCGTCAAAACATGAGCAATTATTGATTAATATGTCGTAATATAGTTTAATTCTATGCAATTCATATTTTGCAGGACGACAAGTGATTAATGTAGCGGAAATAAGGAGACACAAGTGAAAATGACCAAAGTGGAAGAAAGTGAAAGTTTAGGGACTAAAGTATAAATACTCAAAAATTATGTCGGGGATGACGATGAAGGTTCGAGAGTGCTAAGGGTGGATTGGAAG